GGTTGAGAAACGCTGGTGTAGTGCCCTCTTGCCATGCCTGAAGACCTCTCTTCTCCTGCAGTGAGATGTCTTTGGTTTTCTCACGCTCCAACACCACCGCTGTTGGCAAGAAGGACAAGAGACTAATGGCAGAGGTGAACGCTTCCCCCCTGAAGCACTTCGTCACGGCCAAGAAGAAGATCAATGGCATCTTCGAGCAGCTGGGCGCCTACATCAAGGAGAGCTCTACGTTCCTGCAGGGTGAGGCGTCTGGGGCAGCCCACATCTCATAATGGCCTTTTTGCTTGTCTTATCGCGCTGGTTCGTAATGTATCTTTCAGTCTTGGTAGAGCTGCTTCCTGCCAATGCTGCAGCTTTTGTTTATGTATGTGTGACCTGCCCCTGCATTTGTACCTGTGTGTGTGTGTCACGCAGAGACCTACAAAAATGAGGAGCTGGACCCCATCACCACGGAGGAGCAGGTGACGGAGGTGCGGGGATATCTCTCCAAGGTGGCCGGCATCGGAGAGGTTCTGGCCCGGAGGCACATGAAAGTGGCCTTTTTTGGCAGGTATGGGAGTTCTGCCACACGGTAGCGAGAGCAGCCGTGTCACGGGTAATGCTAATGCTAATGCTAATGCTGTGCTCTCATAGCTGTTCAGTCTTCCAAGGTCATTAGCCCCGCCTCCAGGTACTTCAGTATGCTATTAGCCAGCATATCTTTCGTTAAGACTGGCAACAAGAAAGGACCATATTTTTCTATAAATGTTGGTGTAGTTTTACATATAAAATTTGTCTTTCAGTTGAAGCATCTGCTAAATGAATAAAATGCTCTTTTGAAAAAATAAATACCGTTTTTGAACTAATTACAAGTGACTGTTTAGTTTAAGCCCTTTGCTAAACGTTGTTATATCCTGGGACTCGAACCAGCAACCTCCCGGTTAGCCGTCTTGGTCGCTGACTGTGCGAGCTTCCTGTCCGCAGGACGAGCAACGGCAAGAGCTCTGTGATCAACGCCATGCTTTGGGACAAGGTGCTGCCGTCGGGAATCGGCCACACCACCAACTGCTTCCTGCGGGTAGAGGGCACAGACGGCAACGACGCCTTCCTGCTCACCGAGGGCTCGGAGGAGCGCAAGAGCGTCAAGGTGAGCTCCGGCGTCTGGCGGCGGCGGCCATCGTACCACGTGTCCGAGGAAAGCTTTTCATCCTGTTATTGGTTGATAAAGGCTTTGTTTGGGGTGGGTGGGAGGGGGGTTGTGAAATTCTACCTATAGAGCTACTAGTTTGGCCCTCACCTCAAACCTGCTTTATAACCGCTTCTCAGCTCCTGTGGAATGGGCTCATGGAGGATGTGGGGTGCGTGCTGTACATGGACACACGTGTCTGTCAGATGGGGGGGGGGCAGCTGTTTTATTTCAGACTCCTGGCCTTCTGTCTGTATCTCTGTGAGCTGGTTGGAGGGGGGCTATAATGGCAGCATTTACTTAGAACCTTTATCTCCCTGCCTGGTGGGGGTGGGATGGGGCGAAGGGCTCACATCTGTCTGCCCCCCCCCCTCCCCCCTGCATTGTTTGACACAGACTTCCTGAATTCCTTCCCTTTTATGTTTTAGCTGCATTTCCCCTGCAGCTTTCGCTGGTTAGCAGCTCTCGTCTTGGCAGTTTGGCCGTGAGGTCGTTGGGATAGATCCCCCCCCCCCTCAGTCCCGAAAGGTTCGGCCTGGTCTCCTCGGTGACGCTCTGGTTGCTGAGGGAGCCATTCTCCAGATGCACAGATTCCGTGCCGCACGTGTCTAAACGGTCATGGTGTATTGGAGCGTCCAAAAATAGCACAGGATGTTTCAGACACCTCTGGCACTCATGCCTCTGCTCACGTAGTCAGAACTAAGGCCTGTAGCACTGAGGGCTCTACCGCTGGGGCCCTGGGTCTGAAAGGACAGTCTGTTGGACTGCTATATTGCCAGGGCCTTGTGTCTGATAGGGGCATCTATTGAACTGCTATATCATCGGGGGCCTGTGTCTGAT